TGGGGCATGGAGTTGAAACCTGTGGGAGGGGTCTACAGGAGCAGGAACAGTCTGTTCTCTAGTCTTTATCACTGTTTCTAGGAAAGTCTTTTCTCCTGTGTACCTTCTCGTAGCCTGCCCAACAGTGATCCCTCTATCAAACCACCTGGTGGAGGGATCGCCTGCCTTGCTCTGTCTGGGTGAAATCGAACAGAATTAGTTGTGATGCTTGAAGAAGCACTTCTGCCCTGTATTAGTAGGGGTGGAGGGATTCCCCTTGTTGCAATTGTGGTGCCGATATGCTAACGATTAAACATATTGTGCAAGACTGCCTACATTCTCTGGCCCAGTCGTAGGATTCAAAAAATTTTTACTACCGTTTTTTTTTAATTACCGGGCATGGCTTGGGGGTGTGGCTTGGTGGGTGTGGCAGGGGAAGGATACTACAAAATCCCCATGCCCTCCCCACCCTACTAACCTGCTTTCCAGCTCCGTTCTCCTGTGCAGGGCAACCAAAGAAGACCTAGCTGATCAGCTGGGACTCAATGAGAGGCAGAGAATAGATGGGGGCGGGTCCAGTCAGAGGTGGGATTTGCCGGTTCTCCGAACTACTCAAAATTTCCGCTACCGGTTCTCCAGAACTGGTCAGAACCTGCTGAAAACCTCCTCTGCTTTGGCCCCCTAGATCGAAGATCAGCATGAACCAACCCCAGAAGCAGTCGCCTGGATAGCTGAATTGGACCTCCAGTTATGAGGCCACTGTCGTACCCCTGTGGAAGTTTTGTATATAATTATGCGGATTGTGTGCATATGTTTATTTCTCTTCCATCATGTTCTAGTCATGTGCTAAATAAATAAAATAAACAGCCATGTAGATGATATACTTGGGGAAGGATGCACTGGGCTTAGAATTTTGAGGCTTTGACCTCAATGTTCCAAATATACTATAATAGCAATAGCTATTACATCATTTAGCACTTAGACTTATATACCTCTTCACAGTGCTTTACAGCCCTCTCTAAGCGGTTTACAGAGTCAGCCTCTTGCTCCCAACAATCTGGCTCCTCCTTTTACCCACCTCGGAAGGATGGAAGGCTGAGTCAACCTTGAGCCTGGTGAGATTTGAACTGCCAAACTGCAGTCAGAAGTAGATTGCAATGCTGCATTCTAACCACTGCGCCACTGTGGCTCAGGATATTATGCAATTTAGAATAGGGACCGCTTGTACGATGGGCCTAACAGTCCCAAAATGAGGACAGGAGAAGAGATCCCTCCAGTATGGAACTTTTAACCTGGAAGGCATTCCTTCCATTTAATCCCATTGGGATGGGCCTTGCCTGGACTCACAGCTGAAGTATGCAAAATTGTTCTTTCCTTCTCTTGATGCCTCTCTTCACCCTCTTAATTGTTTTTCAATGACATGCCTTGGAGTTTGAAAATGCACAGATGAATTTCGATAGAAGATAATATTTGTAGCTCAGGGTTGAGCTCCTCGATCCTCGGTGTTCTCTGAGCTTGGTTGTTTTCTTGCAGACATTTTATTACCCAGCTAGGTAACATCATCAAGGCAAAACCCACTCCTGCTTAGCATGGATGATGTTACCTCGTTGGTTTTCTTCTTCTTCTGTCTTCTCATGTTTAGGTCTTCAGGCTAATCTGACACTTTTACCTGGTTTATACAGAGGGCAAGCTCCCAGCATAATGGTGCTAATTTGGGCTTCACATGTTGGATGAACTTGATAATTGTGCTATCTCAACCCTAGCTATCAGTTTAATGAGCCATGGTGGCGCAGTGGTAAGAATGCAGTACTGCAGGCTATTTCTGCTGCCTGCCTCTGCCTGCAATTTGGCAGTTCAAATCTCACCAGGCTCAAGGTGGACTCAGCCTTCCATCCTTCCAAGGTCGGTAAAATGAGGAGCCAAATTGCTGGGGACAAGAGGCTGACTCTGTAAACCGCTAAGAGAGGTCTGTAAAACACTGTGAAGCGGTATATAAGTCTAAGTGCTATTGCTATTACTATTAATGTTTGTGATCCCAGTCATGATTTACTCAACAAACCATAACGAAGTGTGATATGGAATTTCCCCTTCTTAGGGGAGTCAGTGCAAGAAGACGCGTCCTTTTCTTCATCTGTTGGAAAAAACATTTGTACAATTGTCTGTAAATGGTTTGTTTCAGACCGAGTTTGTTTTCTTTTTTCTTTTTTGTTGATTCCCCAGGCTAATACCTATGATAAGTACTGGGAATTTTATCAGAAGTACGGAGGCCAGAGTTTTCCTGAGGATTATATCAAGAAAGCAATTGCTGAGATTGAAGAAATGTGCACTATTTTGAAGATGGAAGGAGTGACTGTGAAGAGGCCAGAAGTTCTCAACTGGTCAACCCGATATAAAACGCCTGATTTTGAATCTACTGGTACTTTTTTACTTTCAACAAAGTTTAGTGCTTTACATCTGGGCGTTTTCTGTAATCTACCCGCTTAATGTTTATAGGTAAAGGTTCCCTTCGCACATATCTGCTAGTCGTTTCCGGCTCTAAGAGGCGATGCTCATCTCCATTACAAAGCCGAAGAGCCAGCGCTGTCCGAAGATGTCTCCGTGGTCATGTGGCTGGCAGGACTAAACGCCGAAGGCGCACGGAACGCTGTGACCTTCCCACCAAAGGGGTCCCTATTTTTCTACTTGCATTTTTACATGCTTTCAAACTGCTAGGTTGGCAGAAGCTGGGACAAGTAATGGGAGCTCACTCTGTTATGCAGTGCTAGGGATTCCAACCGGTGAACTGCCAACCTTTCTGATTGACAAGTTCAGCATCTTAGCCTCTGAGCCACTGCATCCCTTATTTGTTATTAATGATTATAGTTATTAATTAGATTATAGTTTTTATATGTTAGATTATAGTTATTAATGATTATATTATAGCAATAGCAATAGCACTTAGACTTATATACCACTTTATAGTGCTTTACAGCCCTCTCTAAGCGGCTTACAGAGTCAGCATCTTGCCCACAACAATCTGGGTCCTCATTTAACCCACCTTGAAAGGATGGAAGGCTGAGTCAACCTTGAGCCTGGTGAGGATTTGAGCTGCCAAATTGCAGGCAGCTGGCAGTCAGCAGAAGTAGCCTGCAGTACTGCACTCTAACCACTGTGCCACTGTGGCTCCTTATTATATATACTCATTATTAATGATTATAGAGACACCTTATTTATTATTTTAAACATTGGGTCGCAAAACAACCCATTATGTTCCAGAAACACAATTTTTACTTTTACAGTGAACCTTCACTTATGACCACCACAATTGTGCCCCAAATCTCTGTTGCTAAGTGAGACTATTTTTGCCTTGTTTTATGACCGTTCTTGCCATAGTTGTTAAGTGGATCACTGTGGTTGTTAAGTTAGCAATGTGGTTGTTAAGTAAATCTGGCTTCCTCCATTGACTTCGCTTGTCAGAAGGTCCCAAAAGGAGACCATGTGACCCCCGGGACAAGGCAACAGGCATAAGTACATGACAGTTGCCAAGCCTCTGAATTTTGATCATGTGGCCACGGGGATGTTGCAATGGTCGTAAGTGTGAAAAGTGACCATAAATCATTTTTTTCAATGCCATTGTAACTGCAAATGGTCACTAAATTAACTACAATATGCCAAGGTCTACATGTATTTAAAAAAAATCATTTTTAAAAAATGAAAACAGCAAGGGAAGTGTAACAGGTAAGGAAAATTATTAACAAGGAGGGATGTTAGGAGAATAGCAGAGGCAAGAGAAAGGGAAGGCCAAGTAAAAAACATTAAAAGCCAATGAAAACAAAATAAACTATTTTATAGTATGTTTACAATTAGTATTAGAATTACAATTATTATACCCTATGATTATTATTAAGTGTTGTACCTGATGATTCTTGACTCTTGACGAATGTATCTTCTCTTTTATGTACAACTGAGAGCATTTGCACCAAGACAAATTCCTTGTGTGTCCAATCACACTTGGCCAATAAAAGAATTCTATTCTATTCTATCTATCTACTATGGAGTTGATAAAAACAGGATGGAACTATTGTAGGACATCATTTTCTGAGAACCAGTTTACCTGCTAAATTAGTGCTATCCCCAAAAGATTAATTTCATGCACATCGCCTGTGTGAGTGTGATGTAGAAATTGTTGCACTTTCTTTTCTAAAGCACACATAGGATGTGGGTTGCTGACCATCATGTCTTCTTTTATAACTGGAAAAAAATAATTGCTGGGATTTTGATTATCCTTGTTATATTTTTATTTTAATTTGCATCATGAAAATAGCAAGCGCACTGGAAACTTTGAAAGTTGTGGTTGTGTATCAGCAGTGTGCATTATATACTAAAGCATAGAGATGGAATAACAGGCTATGTGTGTGTTGATTTCCCTGGCAGGCATGTACGCAGCCATGCCGAGAGACATTTTACTTGTAATTGGAAATGAAATCATTGAAGCGCCAATGGCGTGGCGAGCCCGTTTCTTTGAATATAGAGCATATCGCCCAGTCATTAAAGAGTATTTTCACCAGGGAGCCAAATGGACAACAGCACCGAAGCCCACGATGTCTGATGAGCTTTACGACCAGGTAGCATTTTCTGATTCTCCAAAATGATCAATAGGAGAGAATATTTGGGGCTCAGGTTTGATCTAGGGGGTCCTTGGGGCTCTCTAAGCTTGGTTGTTTTCTTGCAGACGTTTCATTACCCAACTAGGTAACATCATCAGTGCTAGAAGGGAGTGGGGTGTGTGGAGTGGAGGAGAAGGAAAAGTGGGAGAAGGAGGACTGTGGGATCTTTGATGTTTTCTGAACTTGATTGTTTTGCAGACATTTCATTACCCAACTAGATAATATCATCAGTGCTAGAAGGGAGTGAGGTTTGTGAAGTGGAGGAGGAGGGAAGGGGAGAGGAGGAAGAGGGGGAGGAGGAAGAGGGGAAAGTGACTGTGGGATCTTTGATGCTTTCTGAACTTGGTTGTTTTGCAGACATTTCATTACCCAGCTAGATAATATCATCACTGCTAGAAGGGAGTGAGGTTTGCGGAGTGGAGGAGGATGGAAAGGGGAAGAGGGGAAGGAGGAAGAGGAGGAGGACAATGACTGTCAGGTCTTTGATGCTTTCTGAACTTGATTGTTTCCTTGCAGATGTTTCATTACCCAACTAGGTAACATAATCAGTGCTGGGAGGGAGTGGGGTTCGTTTATATACAAGCGCCTTTTTTCTTTTCTGGGCACTGCACTTTCCTTGCTGCAGTCCCTAAGGCTGTATGCTTGCTGGGTGCCAGGGATTATGCGTTATGTCTGTTTTAAAAATTAGGATTATCCCATCCGCACAGTGGAGGACAGGCACAAGTTGGCTGCCCAGGGGAAATTTGTCACCACTGAATTCGAGCCGTGTTTTGATGCTGCAGACTTCATAAGAGCTGGAAGAGATATCTTTGTGCAAAGAAGTCAGGTAAGTCAATTAAAACCCTCCCCCTCAAGTTTTCCTTAAATCTTATATATCTATAAGTCCTATAAGTGTACGGTTATTTTTTTTTTCTTTTTTTCAAAGTTAACAAGTTCAGCCAAAAGAAAACATGTGTGAACACACTACTATAAATTAAAACAAGCTTTCCTGTCTAGGATAGAAGTAGAATTCACTGTCTCCTGGTTTCTAAGCCAATACCTTAACCGTTACACAAAATCCCTTTTCATCACACCTCACAGTGAGATTAAATTTGGTATAGAAAATAGAATAGAATAGAATAGAATTCTTTATTGGCCAAGTGTGATTGGACACACAAGGAATTTGTCTTTGGTGCAAATGCTTTCAGTGTACATAAAAGAAAAGATACATTCATCAAGAGTCAAGAATCATAAGGTACAACACTTAATAATAGTCATAGGGTACAATAACCAATCAAATCATATTAGGAAACAGACAATAAAAATCGCTATTGACAGTTAAACAATTAATCAGTGGAACAATGTGCCTCCAGAATAGAATAGAGTAGAGTAGAGTAGAGTAGAGTAGAATAGAATAGAATAGAATAGAATAGAATAGAATAGAATAGAATA